AAGGATTGTGATGGATTGTGACGCCAAACGTCACTCCAGTTCAACATGTTGAAGGCGCCCGATGCTTTAGGGGTCCAAGATGGTCCACGAATGTCCACGGTCCATCACGGTCCCATCAGTGTCCACATTGTGCAAAGGCAACACATGGCCTGCTCCGTACATGTTATCTCCCAGCAGCGGTCGCCCAATGCTTGCCATGTGCACACGTATCTGATGCGTGCGTCCTACAGGTGCTGATTCGCGTACACTGTTGTACCATGTTGTACCTATTTATCTTTCCAGCGCAAGTTGAAGATCTTGCAGCGGATACGTGGAAGTTTGTGGAAGATTTTAACGACTGTAAAGAAGTGAACTACCTGTGCAATCAGAAGCACCAGTGAAGCAGCATTATTACCAATTTTGTCGTAAGATGTCGTGAGATGTTTGTCTCAACATGTCCCAGCCCATACGAAGCAGACCTGTAGTGGTCTTCACCCGAACGAGCATCATCTGCAACCTGACAGGTTCCGTTGCCAAAAAACTGCTGCAACAGCTTGCTGAAGCCACTCGCAAGGAACAAGTGCTGTATGGCAATGGCAACAAGAGCGAAACAGCTTCAAAACGAAGGTAAGCAACTCCTGAGAACTTGGATCAGGGGAGCGGAAACGTTGAGTTACAACATACCTGAGATGGCGACAGCTGCATGTAAGTCCCTAGTCTGAAACAGGACCAAAAATACCAAGAGGAAGAGGGTTTCAAGAGTGAGAAAAATGAGACTCGGCAAATGTGTGAGGGCTCAAGAACAGTTAGGTCTGGCAATTTCTTCAGGATGGACTACATGAATCCAAATAGAATGAGACAGCAATGAATCCAGGCACTCACAGCTACAAACAGCTACTTATTTTTGCTGAGAGGTACTGAGTGTGAGCATCTTGTCCGTCTTCAGATACTACCATTCTCGTGTGCACACCTTTCCTTAATTCGGCTCTTGGTTCCCCGCACAACACAAATGGCAACTAAAGTGCTTGGTAGAAAAAGCAAATCCTGAAGAAAATGAAGTCAGGGCATTGAGCTTACAATCATTGACGATGCTCTCTGTGTGCAAGAGCATCTTCTCGAATTCGGATAATTCAGATTGAAGAAAACGGCAAAAATCAATGAACCACTAGCTACCTGATTGACTCAACGCTGTGCAAGTCTTGAAGGACAAGGCACGACTCTTGTAGCAAAGGGGCGTGTATCTCCCCACTGTCCAAAGGGTCTCCTTCGCAAAGGCACAAGTACTCCTGGCGCACTGTCAAGGACGGTTGGAACGACTTGGTCCAGTCTAGAGATTCTAGAGTTTTGAAATTCACATAAGAACAAAATGAAACAAAACACGTCGGGGCAAAAATATTCCGCGAATGTCAGGCTATCCAACGTGTCATGCAATACATCATACATCGCCAACAGAGCTCGATAGTATTTTCGCAATCTCTTTTAAATCAATTGAAAAAACTTGATCATGTTCCAGCATAACCCAAAATGACCCAACATTATCCAACAGGACCCCGGAACAATCATGTCCTTCTCTACCAGGCGAGACGCGAACTGCGCCTCAGAGGTCAAACGACCAAATGCTTTCCAGCAGAGTCCGGCATCAATCAAATCAAATTCAATCGTTCAAAGATGCTCTCAAGGACTTCAAAACGCATCTTCTTTTCACGATTTAATGATTGGCATACAGTATACAATGCGTTCGCCATTGCATAACTGGGCTGATCAAGTAAAGAAGGAATGAAGAAAAAATACTGGGATAAATACCAGGACGCAATTGTCTTTTCGCCTTTCAATCTCTTGATGTCCCTTTCTGCAACTGTAGCCAATCAAACTCCAAAACATCAAGCTAAAAGAGACTGATTTAAAAATTCAAGTGATCATAATGATTCTATGTCTTAAAAAAAGCTCCAAGGAACCGCACTTTGCTAGGAGCTCGCAATGATATTTCTCATACAGTGTCACCCGTAACCCCCATCCCGCACAGTACCATATATGCTGCATGACTGCATGGCGCACCTGTAACCAATGTCGGGCTGGTTCTGACCATGCCACTGGAAGGACTCCGGACGCTCCCTTGTCCAACCGTGATGCCAAAGCCACCTAATGGGCGCTCTTCACACTGCTGTACAAGGCGAATGTGCAAAAACACCTGGACCATCCAAAATGGGAAAAAACTGTAGATCCGTTTGGTATGTGGACTTGAAAAACTCAAATTTGGACAAATCCAGGTACGCGAAATGTCAACATGCAAATCCAATTCAACTTTTTTGTCCTTTTACTTTGCCCCATTTTCACAGATCTTCAATCCTCCAGGAACAGAAGCGGGTCAAAGAAAAATAAGAAAAGGTATGGTAACATTCTTGCTGCATCTTGCTGCTAAGAAGCAGTGCTCGGAAACTGCAGGTCTTTTTGCAGCTGTTCCATGAATCCCTCGCCTGAGGCTGGTGGTTCTGAAGAGTTCCTTTCGTCCGCTTCAAGGCAGGACACCAGCAAAAGTAAGGAGAGTATCCCTTCATTGTCTTTGAATGTCTTTGATGTGTGAGAATATGTCATACATTGTCATACATTGTGATCATGCGATAATTATGTGATCATTCTGTGATATGTCATATGTCCGATCTCAAGCCAACCGAGGTTTGGCGCTTGGCAAACAATCCGGCAGATTTGGTCCCTTGACACTACTGAGCTGATACATCCCAGCTGGTGGATTTATTCTATCAACAATGTGAGTTCAAGCGTGGCAACATGATGATACATTATTGCGGTGTCTGATCAATACAGTACTGTCAATACTGGATGTCCTTGGACCCCATCGCTGTGGGTTTTCATGGTCATTCTGTTGTGAAACGCATTGTTTAGCAGTGTCTAGAAGGTTCCCTTTCCAGTGGAATAGCAAGGAATCCAAAGCACATGAGGTCCCTCTATGTACTTAATGTACTTCCTGGATATGATGTACTTCCTGAGCAGCGGGCTCGTGATGCGTGGAGGCTTTGAACAAAGTGCGACACCATATCCAAAAGAAGTGCCGTTCCGACCTGTGCAGCCATCCAGATCATCTAGGGCTTTTGGGACAAATGTCATCAGGGTTGAGGGAACCAAGTAAAAGGGTTGGTTACATAATCAAAGATCAAGACCGATGTGACCAAGCAATTTTTTCTCCTACCCACTTCCGTTCTGTGTGCGAATGGGAAGGGCGCCATTTCCAGGCCGCAAAGAAATGTTGCCGTCTTTTCAAAAACACACTTGAATACACCTGAGACATATTGAGACATATTGAAACAATTCGTGACAATCTGTGACTCACCTGGCATGTGCTTTGGCTCCGCCAAGTCTGCGAGCCAACCTCACAGACCGATGGTTGCTTTGAGTGGGCGTGGACGGGGGAAACCCAGGGAAGATCACTGCTTCAGGTCCCATCATGTCCTCCACGCTGTACATCGCTGTACATCGCTACTATGTTTTGTGGAATCTGTGGGATCTTGGATGGATGTTTTGAGGCCCAAAGGGGGGGTGGACGAAAGCTATCGGTAAGGAAGAAGTGTAAGTGAGAGTAGGAAAGGAGGGAGGAAAGATGACGGAAAGAGGAAAGAAGCGGGTGTGATAGGTATGTACCGCAAGAGCTCGTATTTGAGAAAGAGATGGGCCAGTACATATAATTCATACATATGATCTAGAGCCTGACTTGCTCAGGGCACAACAGAGTTCGCACATACAACGGAAGAGATTCAAGAACGAGAGATGTAGGTGCTGGACACAGATCTCTCCCTCCCTTGCTAGAGCAAGATAGATGTGATAGATTCGATACTATGTCCCTGCAAACCATTGAGTCGGCGATTCGTCCCAGCAACATGCACGCAATCTCCGTAGCAACTGCCAGGCATTAAATTGTGGCAAGTCTTGACATACAGCTCCGGCTTGTATGCCGCTTGGGATCATTCCTCAGCAAAAAACTGACGACTTTCAATTACTAAGTGTCAATCTATGTCAATCTGCAATGATGACACCAATGGCCACCAATGGCCACCAATGGCCACCAATGGCCACCAATGGCCACCAATGGCGACCAATGGCGACCAATGGCGACCAATGGCAATCAGACCCTAGGGGCACCATCAGCAACGTCACAATACGTCACAGCCCCAAATATGACCAAGCTACTGCACTTCAGCATGTCCTCGAGCAGGTGCAGTGAACTTGCCCTTGGCTCAGTCGCCAGTGCGCCGACCCGAGGGCTGACCCAGAATGTAGCTTGTGAAAACCGGACACAACTGCAACAGGGGATACGTACGTATGGATACGTGCATTTTTTTTAATGATTGTTTAACATGCTACAAGAATTAAAACTGCAACGTGCTGAAACACTGAATGTCACCAGGGTGAATCGTTTGTGTTGCTTCAATACATTCAATACTATACTACCAGTACTACCAGTATATTCGGATGTATTCGGCATGTGCCGGGAAGTGAAACTCAGTAAACCGATCGTTTCTATCCTCCAGTGATTCTCACAAGGGTTCGAGACAGTGATGCAAATATGTACAAATGTGTTGTTGAAATAGTTCCCCCGTTTTTCCCTTGATCCTCCTTCTTCGTAGTCTTAAAAAGTACGAAGCGCCATGAATGCACCGGAGCAAGCTCTCACCTTCAAGCGGAACTAGGACAACTAGGAATTTGGGCTGGGAATGGCTGGGACCTCTCCGCTGCGCCCCAGGAGAAAATGAATGAAAGGGAGCAGCAATGGGCAGAAACGAGTTTTGCCCAAAGAAAAGAAACCTTGGGCAATACAGGGACTGTATGCGCCCTGGGCCCATTGCTAGCAGTGCTTCTGTAGGCATGGAGCGCCTAACACTGTTGCAATATGTTCTGCAGAGGCCATAGCCATCCATCGATAACCAACCCTCTACTTCAAGTTGATTCAAGTGGCCACTGCTGCGCGTTGCTTGTGGCTGTTAAGAGAGCACTAAACGTCACCTCGCTTGGCAGTATGTTGGCCTCACCGGTTGAACAATGACTGCAAGAAGCTGCAAGAAGCTGCACTGCAAGAAGCTGCAAGAAGCTGCAAGAAGCTGGAACAACCCCCTCGCTGGATGAGAACTTTCTCGCCAAAGAGAAAGGACCAAGACATACAAAGACTGCCACCATTCTGTGTTTGGATAAGAGGTGGGAATGACTATGGTAGAACCAAAGGATGAAGAAACCATAAGAAACGGATTTCCTGTTTACTGCATCCGTAAACCACGTCTGCTTTCGACTTCAAACGTCAGGGTTGTACATCCCTGCACCTCTTCCATCTTTCTCAACAGCTGCAAAGCGTGTTGCCACTGAGCGGAGTGGCTGCAAGCAGTAATGACCCCGTTGTAACCTCAATCTGAAGACCGTGCGTCATGATGCTTCTTATTCTCAGGCACAGCAAAAGAAACAAGCGGATCTGCCAGCAAGGTTCAAAGGCGCAGGAAAAAAGGGTAGGGATTGTAGAATGACAATCTTGAGGATAAAGGTGTTTCGAGCTGGCAAAAGCTTTCTCGTGCATCGTCGGCATGAAGGTTCAAGGTTTGTTGGGCTGAACGTTCTGAGGCCGTACATGGCTGTAGTATGCTGTAGTGTATTCACGTTTAAAAATTCAAATGCATTGCAGCAAAGCTGTTCCAAAGCTGTTCCGTGGCTGAGCAACTGATCTGGGTTGGGCTCAGCTGCTCACGAGTGATCTGCTGCAAAAGTCCTAAGGCATGCTGCCACTGGAGGCCCTTCTCACAGGCGCTGATGCAGGCGTTGAAACTGATCGCATCGTGCTCCACCTCCTCGCAATCGGCGGCGCAACGCGTGCATCAGCGACATGACGCGGATGAGAAAAATGAGAAAACACAGAAAAACACTGAAACGAAGTGAACAAATTTCGAAGTACAAGAAACATTGCATGAATTTGCTTGCATTCGAGAATTGCAAATACATGAAAGATCGTTAGAGCCGTCCAAAAAATCTGATGCAGCGCTACGGCAAGAGAAGTGACTCTCTATATCTTCTAGATACTCTAGTTGAGATTTCAAACGTTAGCGGACAGGGTGACGCAAAGCATGGCAAACTTCACGGCCTCTTTTTCACATCTCTAAACATTCTAAACACCTGGAACGAAATTCGTCCATCTGCGTCCATCTCAGTCCTTTAGCTGAAGCAAGTGCAGTGCCAGAGGCCATTGAGCTGCCTTCTCACATGCGCTAAGGGCAGCATTCGAGCTGATCCTTCAGAGTCGATGAGTCGATGGACAAACCTGGCAATACCTCGACAAAGCACCTATCACAGCACCTAGTATATCCATCTAGTCCATATTAACAACATAAATTACTGTATATTATATGTAATATATATTATATATCCCCTAGTTGATCCTACTTATTTGGTCGAATCTTAGTTGAATCTTAGCTGATCGTGTGAAGGATGGTAAAGGCATGCGAAGGCCCTAAATTCTTCCGGCCGGCTTCCGCTTGCTTTCTGCTTGCAGGTTCCCAGGATAAACTAACAAATCTCGACTGCAATGAACAGTGGCGACTGCATGAACTGCGGTGCTGCGTCCTGTCCAACTCCAGAGCTGACCTTCGCAAATCCTGAACAGGAGGAAAGGGGAAGAGATTTGGAAACGATGTGGACAGATTCAATTAAGCAGCGAGAAAGTCTTAGGGTCTGGGATCACCCTAGTCGGGTTGTTTCCATTCATGTTCAAGATGTTTGTTTCAAAGTGCCGCATGGTCAGGTGTGTGATCTCTTGCAGTTCATGAAACATATTATAGAGAGAGAGAGAGCACAACCTCATCATTACTCTCAAACGCGGCGCTTGCAAGATACTCGGCTATCTCGATACACAGAGAATGGTTTCAATGATTTCGAGGCTGATTGAATCCCAAGGGCCAAGATCAATACTGGTAGCTCTCCAGAATGTTCATTCAGGAGAAGCCTTGAAGGATGACATACAAGAAAACCTGGGGTCATAACAACTAGCAATATTGGTTTGTCCCCGATTCGGACATGGGTCCTGAAGCAAAGCAATTGCAACATCCCACTTCTTTGCTTTTCCACACGCAGTGATTGCATTGCCAAACGTAATGTGATCTGCCTTTGCCTGCATGCATGGCTCAAAGGCAGGAAAACCAGGAAATGCAACAGTTCGTGTCCAGCGCCGCTCAAGAAGCAAGATATTCCCAAGACACAAAAGAAAACAAGTGTTTTTAAAGTGCTTGTTGCGCTGATCAACAATATTTCTATAGCAAGAACTTCCTGCCTCTGCTCTTGCCATTGCCTCCAGTCATTGTCAATGTGGTCCACAAATCATCAACAAACATGTTTGCACCTGATCAGACCGCCTACTGTATGAGTGCAGTCAAATGATCAAAACCCTTCACAATCGATGCTTCAAAATCTACGTTCCTCACATCTGTGATCAAAGTCCTGCCTCAAGAGTCTCAAGGCAAACGGTCCACTGCAGCGTCTTTTGTGCGGCAATGATGGCCATATTCCTCAAGGCAATGACATGCTGCCCATTGCCATTGCCAAAAAACATGGACTTCTCTTTGAATTTTGAACCGTCCCTCCAAACACAAACTCTGATAAACAAAGATTGACTTGAGAAAGATCAATAGAAATCACAGCACATCGGAGCATTTGACAAAGACGAGCAAAGGAAGCGGAAGGAAAAGACATGGGCTGTGACCGTCTACCTCCAACAGCAAATATGTGTGCCATAGTACAGAGACATCATATTGAGACAGCACCTCCATTGGATGTAAGGCTCGTTGATCACACCCAACAAACAATCTGGTTGGTTCAATGACTCCTAAAACTCTTACCTGCTACCTCGGTGCAGAAGACTCCTGTCTACATACTGCCAGTTCCGTACGTACATGTACGTACTATTCATTACTATTCCATATAAACCTCTTCCAATCTCTTCCATACAATTGTTTTTGGGCGGTGCTAAGGGGCTGCCTCTTGCACGAACTCTATCATTCTTCTGGATCTCCTTTGAGACCTTCGTGCAACCTATTGATGCAAGCTGCTCAGGTTTTTCCTCCAGAAAACGAGTGTATCAACAGCCTTCCTCCAGTTACTGTAACAGTTACTGTATCCTGATGTATCCAATATGTATCCTGTATACTAATCACATTAATCACATCCTATTGAAAAACGATGAAAAACGACCGCAAGGATCTGCCCAGGATCCAGTGACGAATATCAAGGTCTACACGCCCCGGCCGTAGAGCCTGTGCAATTCTGACACTCAACCGATCGTCCTACGTGAGTCTTGGTAGAAGTTCAGCGCAAGCCCATAGAGATCCATATAGTAAGGCACTGAGACAAAGAAATTATATGAAATTTAATTGAAATTATATGATGGAAATTAGTGGGAATGAATGGGAATGAATGGAAAAACAAACTTCCAAAACCTTCCGAGGTCCACAGCCACAGTGCGCATAACCACATGTGAGCACGGCAACTAGCGGACATGATCGGACATGATCGGACATGGACATACCCAACCTGGATGATCTGGAGGCACTGGTGATAGGCTTTCTTGCGCGAAAGCGCCGTGAGGGTGGAGGTGATGTACCTGGCCCAAACTCGAGCAGCACCTCTCCGATTAGTGAAGCATTGGACTTCAAGGAAAATAATGAAGAATGTCTTTCACTTCCCTTTCCCCAAATTTGATGAAAGACTCCTTGACCTAGCCATGTACACTCCAACGTATGTGGCATGCCAAGTTGCCGAGGGTTCTCACGCCAGAAGTTCCAGCTCTTTCCATCGGGAGCCACCATCGAGATGTGAAGGGAGCACGTGCAGATCTATTACAGAAAATATCAGAAAATAATGAAATCTGATGAACTATAGTAACATATAGTAACTATGTGCAATGTTGTGCAATAAAATCAATGTGTCGAATCAACATGATCACTTTGGATAGAATGGAGGCACCAGGGACTTTGCTTCCTGTGAATTCTTTGGAAGTGGATGCGAATGGTCTCTCGGCTGAGACAGCTATTGAACAGGAAATTGTTTGTTGCAGAGGTGGCCAGTGCACACTGAGGGTTTGGGCAAAACCATGAACTGACTCCACTCTGAAATGCTGCAACACGACATGGAAAAAAGGTCCGGGTACTTTCACACCTTTTGAAACACAAGGAAATTACAGGCACAAAGCTATTCTGCGGCTTACTTCGTTGTAAGGCCGTGACACACGAATGCAGTGCTCACTGCTGCCATGCCTGACTTCATTGAGCATCATACACTCTTCCACCAGAAGCAAACGGAAATTTCTACTGGAAACAAAATCTCGAAATCAAGCAAACTGAAAGAAAAAATGCCCAAATCAACTGTAAGGCTGTGCCAATTGATGTCAATTGATGTCAATTGATGTCAATTGATGTCAATTGTGAAGACTACATTGACTAAATACGTTGACGAAATGCGCTAAATGCCTCGTGTAGTTCTCGGGTTTCGCTCCGGCCTGCAATGGCAGCACTAGTAGCTCCAGCCGCTGCCTCGGTGCACGAGCCAAATTGCCACCGGAAAGGTCAGCGGCCCAACAGGCTGTGCTGCTGTGCTTCGATGAAAGTCTTGTTATTTAGAATGCTGACACAATGCAACAGGGAAAACAACAACGTTCCCCAACTGTGACGTCTAAATCTTGGCAGCTAGGCTAAATATGCTAAATGTTTGGATGGTTTTTGCATCTCTGCATGTTTCTGGAAATTGAGATGCAAAGTTCCTTTCTCCAAGCATCTCAGCAAATCATGGAAAATCCATTCTAGGTTCCCTGGCACGTCGTGTCATGACCTCAAGCGGCAGAAGCGGTAACAATATCAGCTTTGACTTAAACAAATTACTCAAAAGCTAAATTATTTAATGATTTTGATCTAAATGTGGCAGTCACTGTAGTATCATGTTTTTAGATTCATATGAGTGGAAGGATATACTGATAAATAGTATAGCTAGTAGTTCTATCATGTTCTATACACGTTGGTGAAACGGAGTGAGTTCCAAATGTGTCTTGCAGCCAGCGTGTTTTAGTTTCTTTTCATGGTTTGAAGCCGCTTACGTGAATGTTCCTTTTACGGACTTAGAGTCTGCCTACTACAAGCACCGCCTGTGTGCAGTCTATCCTCTGCCTTGGGGACTGCCAAATTCTTGCACGGGTCAGGGTCTGTGCCAGACTAGATATGTGTCATGGACAAAACAAAACATGGTAAATTATGGATGTTTAATAATGTGGGTTACGGTCATCCCACCACTATTGAGAATCCTTATGTTGGCCACGAATGGCCATGCTGGTTCGCTCTCAATGGTGGGATGACATGGTATTACCACCCGCCGTACAGGCATATCATCTAACTGTTGACCACGTCACATACATGACTACACCAGGTTGCACCAGCTTCTTTGCGGTTTCAGTACTCCTGACGTATTTGCTCTCATCCGAAATCATGTCTGGCACGCATCTTCATAGGACATAATGAGACGATCAGTCCCTTTCATCAGGCTTTCAGTAGAGGTTTTTATCCTAGTGCTCGTTCCTGCATTCATTGATACATTGAATGTGTCAATTTCCTGGGTCTTAGGGTCTTAGCATCGGAGATTTATGATCTGAATATATCTGAATCAATCTGAGGACGGCTCCTGAAAGTTGAAGGTCTGGGGAGGCTGACAATTTCACGTCACTCGCCTCGGCCTCCCTTGAGCCTGGCCTTGGGCCCTCCGGGCAAGCTGCACTTCACAATTCGAAGACACAATCTTGCACAAAACGCAACAGAACATACAAAACAAGATCGACCCGCAAATCGCAAAGCTGAACCTATTCCGAACCGTGAAATAGGCCCGGTTTGCCAACTCAATATCACAAGGAAAGCAATGGAGTTTCAATAGAGAAAACGATCATAGCGCGAGCGATAACCGATAACCTTTTTGGTTGCTTTCCAGCGTCGGTCAGCACTGGACAGACTTTCAGGAACTTGTCTCCTGAGTCACTTCTACTTTCGGCCGAGCTTTGAAAACTGGGTTTGCAGAGAATACTGAATTCTACTCCTGCATCCTTTGTTTGGGAGCAGTCTGACATTCTCAGAGTGCGCCTTTTCGCAACCACAATGTGATCACAAGAAGCCCAGTCTGCTTGCAGCAGCCAAGCCACACTCTATTCAACTCAGAAGCGACCATAGCATCTGGCAATTTCACCATTCTGACGCCCTGTGCTACCTCCACCTCAGCAAGACTCCAAGAAGACTCCAAGGATGGCCCACAAGGTTCAAAATGCTCAAATTATGAACGTTTTACATCTACTCATGTCCTCTGTTTTGCCGTTCCCTTGTTCAGGATAGACTCTGCATCCTACAAACACATTGAACCTTAAAAGGGGAAAACCTTTTTTTGTGAATTACAAGCAAACTAAGGCTTTTTCTTGTGGGAGTGCTCAGAAGATTTAGGCACAACTTTTCTGGAATTTGCCCTGAAATGCGTTGGACATGCTTGATGGCGTCTGAAAACAAGACAAACGCATCACCTCGCTGTGTGAACAAATGATACCAAATAGATCCAAATAGTCCATACAAGTAAGGTGCGGATGCAAACTTGGCTCATGGATGCTCAATGAGGTTGCAGTATCTTTGGTTGAAAGTTGAAATGATGGAGTGGTTGTTCAACGTTTGCTCTTGCACCATATTCTGCACAATTTCCTCGTACATCGCAGCGGTTTGCATCGGAAACATATGGTTGATCCCCGATGATCCTAGATCTCAATTGTCGGCCAACATGAAGCATGCGTATGCATGCGTCAGGTGTCTGAGGCACAGGAGTCCCAGTTGTAGGGCTGCGAGTCTTTGCGGAAGCCACAGACGAAAGACAAGGTGCACCTAGGTGGAGATAGCCGTCAAAAAAGTTGAAGTGACATGAGATGGTCCGAGATAGTATGAGATAGCACGAGATGTCACGAGACGGCACCAAGGATGTCAATTGATTGTGGAACAAGCTGTGGAAATCCATAGAACAAAGTTTACAGAACAGAGTTGGAGGACTGGAATCCAAATGAACCCATGATCTTGACATTGTCTTGGCATATTGCGAATCTGTACCGTTTCAGCATGAAACATGGATGAATCCTGCCCATGCAAAAAACTATGGGTAGAATTCATCGTTCTCATGTTTTTGCGGCCGTGTCAATTTTGGCAAGTCCTGATACTCAGGATACTACTGTGAGATACATTAAGTATCATTAAGTCATTAAGACGATCTTTCAACTTACCTCCGAGATCTTCCGATTCCTGGCTGTAGTGGAGAAGGACTGCATCAAAGGCACGAGGCAAAAGTGACAATCGCCAGAATTCCGGCTTGCTCCAGCTGTCAGGATTTGAGCAGTGGACTCAAGCTTCTGCGTGGCTCAATACACTGGAACACACTGGAACAGACTGGAACACATGCCTAGCTTCTACTTGGTGTCAACGGATGCGATGCATGCTTGGCAAAAGCAAAAAATCAAGAAATTCACAGGTTCAAACTCAGAATGATGGCAAATCTACAATCAACAACTTTGGTTTCTCTTTCAATAGCCATGTGGTCAAGCCACGGTGTAGCAAACCATGCAATCAAACATGCCGAACTTAAAGGCAATAACTCACCACATACGGCATCCAGCTGAAGGAGGTACGAACTGTTAGCAACGATGTCTGATTGCGTGGCTGCTTCCATGTCTGCAAATTGCGTGCCATGATCTAAACATGCAGCGGTGACCTCATGCTCGGTGGCCTTGCTGGCTTTTCATGTTCCACAGAATCACTGGTCAGGATCTCGAGAGTCTTGATATGTCTTGCATGGAAAATGAAGTGTCCCCTATGTCCCCTCTAAAAGTCTCAGAGTTCTTGATTCCAAAGGATTCAAAGCATTGGTCAAAAGGTCAGATGCAAGGTGTTCCGCCAAGCAGCTTTCCAAATCATGAGCCTGGGCTGCAAGGCCGAATGAACGCAATACAATGGACGCATTGCAAGCACGCTATTGGTAAAATGAATGGTGAATGCACAAAAAGACAAATCCTTCACGTTGACCAAATACACCACTGGGTCAGGGTCAAAACTGGAACGAAATCTGCACTTGCCAGTATTCATGGATACTTAGGGCGTTGTCCTCCAATTTTGATGTTGGTAAATTTTCGATTTGAATACAACTTGCAGTCAAATCACCCACACGCAACAAAGCCAAGGAGTAGAAAGAGGAACTTTAGGGTTTGCGACACGACCTGAGGAGAGAGGTCAATTTGCCCGGTGCCGCAAGGAGAAGAAATGAGAACTTAGTGGATAAAGTCTTAAATAAACCAAATATTCCAAATATCAAACCAAATCATGTCACCTTCCCCCAGACTGAAACACTCTTCTCGTGAATTTAGTACGAGTAGTTTAAACAACATGAAGCATCTTCCTAGACATGTCCGGGAGCCAGTAGCCTCAGTAGCCTGGGGCCTGTCTGCCAACGCTGCAGCTTACTGCTACTTCATGGGTTGTCGTGCAACTAATCAGTCCACTGTATGAAGCATGTGGGCCATGTGGGTGTCGAACGTGTCGAACACGGTCCCAGAATGTCCCTGATTTACCCCTCACAGGATAAATTTGAGACAGGGGAATTGCATGCGACATGAGAAATTTCATGGTACGCTTCGGCAAATGTCTGCATGCGGTGGGATTGCAATTGCACACCAACAGGCACTAACGTATTTGAAGAAAGGTAGAACCATCTGGAGCTACAGCAAACTTAAGACATCTTAAGACTATTCTGATTTTTCTGCACTAATCTCCATTAATCTCCTATTCGCTCCTGTCAATGGCGTTCAGTTCATCTCTGAGAAAGCCAACTTTTGGCGCAGCTGGCTGAAAGCTCCAGCTGAGTTGCCCGGCCCCCATGGGGGAAAGGGCTCAGAAAGGACAAAGTTGGACAAAGCAAGAAATGTCTGGAACAAAGTCCTATCACTGGCCTATCACGTCTACACCCCATTTGGTTCACATGGACTACGGCACATCTAGATATTTGAAAGGCATACCTCTGCGAATGTGTACTTGAACTTGTAACGGGAACGTCGATGCTCTGGCTTTGAAACGTGGGAAATAAAGAAAGATAGTTGCATGCAATTGCATGTAGCTGCAAAATTAAAGTATATTAAGAGATTGTAAAAGATGTCAAAATATGCTAAAATATGTTAAAATATGTTAGGTTATGTTAAAATATGTTAAAATAACGCATATATGATCTTCATTCAGAATGTCTTCCTTTATGGTATCGGTAGAGCTCTCGAGCTCTGAGCTTTTTCAGCAGCGAGTTGGCAGTTTCATTTTGAGGCATAACTCGGCATAACCAATAGAACTTTCAAACTCACATTGTGACTGTTGGACCAACGGAATCTGTGAGTCTATGAGATGTCTAGCTGGCCGCTGAGACTTGCCTTTTTGGGGAATGCAAACAATCTAGTCTGGAAACATCTGGAACCTGAAACTGAACGTATTTGTTCTGCCCCAGGTTCCAAGAATCCTACAGGTACATTGTCTTGAAAGATACTCTGCGCCTATTTCGACGACAAGACTGAGCTGAGATGCAGTGACTGCAACGGCCACAACACCCCATACGAAAGCAGTGACTATGTACAAGTTTGACAAGTTTGACAAGTTTGACAAGTTTGACAAGGGTGAAGAATTTACCCAAAGATTGGGAGATGGCTCAAGATGGCTCACGGAGTGCTCACGGATACTCAATGCCATAGAACCTGTCAAGCTATTCAAATGTAGGGAATGAGGAGTTCTGTACAGACGCCGAAAGAAACAACCAAAACCCAACAACGCGCACCTGATGTCTCCTTGACGTCCATCCAATGGCATTGGCCATGCCAACAGACCTTCAACATACCTGACGTGATGAACAGACCTCCAACAGAGTCAAAACAATTGGTACTCTTGCTCTTCAAACTTAGGCAAGTGACAAGATCCGATCTTCGAGCTGTTTGAAATCGCTGAGTTCAAACGCAAAAGTGGAGACATGGAGACATGGAGGTTTACGGCACGGGATTGTTCACCTCTTGCCTGCAACATCCTTGAGGGCGTTTTAGCTTGGAGGGAAAGCAAAAACAAGGCGAACACAAGGATGCTTCTGGATCTTGTGTACCAGCTTTATCAGCCGGGTTGAAAAATGTTGGAAAATGTTGGAAGGCTTTTGCAGCTGTAGGCAAAATCAGTCCTCCATATCATTCTCTATCTATCTGTACACGTGCATACATACATACATACATACATACATACATTACATTACATTACATCACATCACATCACATCACATTACACATTACATTACATTACACATTACATTACATTACATTCCATTGCATTGCATTGCATTACATTACATTACATACATACATACATACTTTTCCTACATACATACATACATACATACATACATACATACATACATACATACATACATACATACATACATACATACATACATACATACATACATACATACATACATACATACATTACATACATACATATACATACATACATACATACATTACATACATACATTGCATACATACATACATACATACATACATACATACATACATACATACATACATACATTACATACATACATACATTACTTTACATTACATTACACTACATACATTACATTACATACATTACATACATTACATACATTACATACCAATACATACTACATTACATTACATTACACTTTACATTACAATTACATTACATACATTACTTTACATTACATAACATTACATTACTTCATACATTACATTACATTCATAACATTACATTTACATAACATTACAAACATACAACAAACATCACATTAACATTACCTAACTTACTTACATAACATTACATACTAATTAACATCACATTACATAACATTACATTACATAACACCATTACCCATAACATTACATATATAACATTACATTACATAACATTACCATAACTTACATTACATAACATACATAACATACATAACATACATAACATACATAACATACATAACATACATAACATACATAACATACATAACATACATAACATACATAACATACATAACATACATAACATACATAACATACATAACATACATAACTTACATAACATACATAACATACATAACATACATAACATACATAACATACATAACATACATAACATACATAACATACATAACATACATAACATACATAACATACATAACATACATAACATACATAACATACATTACATAACATACATAACATAACATACATAACATAACATACATAACATAACATACATAACATACATACATACATACATACATAACATAACATACATAACATAACATACATAACATAACATACATAACATACATAACATACCATTACATTACATACCATTACATTACATACCATTACATTACATACCATTACATTACATACATTACATTACATTACATTACATTACATTACATTACATTACATTACATACATACATACATACATACATACATACATATATATACAGTATATAGTTATATATACGTATACATAGAACATACCGTAGAATATATGATCTTTCCCAGTGCATCTTCCCTGGTACTTCATTACATGTCAAGCGCACTCCATCTGCTCCATCAATGCTTGCTTCCATTCCTGGGCTTCTGCCTGGCTCTCACATGGCAGCACATCGCTGCAAACGAATCGCCTGTGGCACTGCACCTCTGTTTTGGCGCGAAGAAGCACTCGTTCGCCCATTTCCTGGCAAGATCTTGCAACTCATGTGTTCCCGAGGGAGTTGGTCAGAGTGTATGGGTCTGCTTTGGACGTGTCAAGCAGGATGTGAATGTGATGGATCGTCCAATGGGATTGATCTTGGAACACAATGGCCTCAATGGACCTGTTCTGTAAGCCTTTATGTCACATGCAAGCGTTTGCGTCTTGGTGAAGACAAGACTTTACATAACTTTCGATTCCAAGTTCTTTACTACGATCGCTCTGGTCGAACTATCAAGGCCCATGCCCCATTCTAATGCAGGTACCGTTTCAAAGACCTTTATATATAGATAGATATCTATAGAGTGCCTTGCAACGATCTCAAAAACAGTTGAATCTGAAAAGAATCGGTTTCTGAGATTCTGGACACACAGAAAAGCTGAAGAAATGTATTAAGCTCCTTTAAAGCTTCATGACCTCCTTGACGACTCTCGCATCTCAGCTCAAGGATGGTGCCCTGACATCAACAAATCAAGGCTGACCAAGAAAGATCGAGATCGAGCAGCCAGAAGTCTTCACAATTCGATGGCAGCGATGGATTCGAAATTCCATTTGGGCTTGGTGTGTCATTGACAAAATGGGCAATTCTATGCCGTTCAAAGAGAATTAGTCCGACTCAGTCCACAGTGGGAATAACATGGAATAACTGGATACTGCATGATCTGCATGCCTCAATGCGCACCAAGACCCAGCGTGTGAGGCCATCGGAGAGGCGGTACTGGCGAGGGGAAGTGAAAGAATCTGAAAGAATCTAAAATCTGAAAGATGTAATCAGATATAAATATAAAATAATATAAATATCAAATCGTTTAAAGTCGTTCTGAAGTCGTTCTGAAGTCCGATGTATGGCGACAGAACGTCTGCCCTGTTCAACTCAGACCTTAGAACTTGGACACTGATCCCTTCCTGTCTTCTTCTGACATTCACAATATACACAGGAAGTGTTGGTGTAGGAAACATGCCGTGTCTATAGGTATACCATATATAATATAAACACATGCATGTTATATGATGTTATAATATGTTATAATATATGTATGTATGTATATATATATATCTACGCATATATACTATATACATATATATATATGCTGTATACACTGTATACCATTATTGCATCTCATGCGTGTAATGTTGTCTTGCTCGCAAGGCTTCGGGAAAATCGATTCTCAGGTGGTGTTTGGGATTGAAGTCCCAAAGTCCACAATTGATTGAAACTCAACTGCGAGACTTTAGCAATATCTTTGGCATAGATCTTCACAAGAGCCACATGATGCCACATGCAGTATTTACTTGTATTTACGTGTATTTATTAGTATTTATTTATATACATGTATCTACTGCATATTGAAGGCCCGCTCTTGCCTCCACGTCAGGTGGTCCTTCTGCTCCCTGCGCAGGCGGCCACATTCGCCACTGGCTTAGAGTGTGTTCATTCCAATCTTTTTGTGTATGTCACATATGTCCCCTAACTTTCCAAGCATATCCAAGCTACATCTGCTGGGCGCACGCCTTAGAACATGATGGAACATGACTCCCATGCAGCTTGCTGGATGCAAGATATGAACCTTTTTTTTTGCTGCCGAAATCATGAGGCGCCCGCTGTGCTGAACACAGCATTGCCAACGTCGAGTAATATGGAGTCATATATAGCCTTATATAGCCATATGGAGTAACTAAACTGCACACTGCTAGCGCTGCTAGCTAAGGCTGCACATGGCTGCACTCTGCGGATTGTGTCTTCTTGTCCAGTCATCGCTTCAAGGTACGATCACAGAAAGGCGTTCGAAGATATTCTCCTGCCAATTCAGCAGGGATCTCACCGCCACCAAGGCACACATCAAAGATGCAATCCTGGAAAACTGTTTCAAAAGACTGAGCGAAATAGGGAGCGAAATGTTCCTGGAAGCTGATCTCCTTTGGATCCGGCGGAGGCTGACCCAAGAATTTGGAACAAGTTCGCCTTGCTTCAGTCTCTTCTTCCTTGCTGCAGCTTTTCAGAAAGGCGTCGGGGTCCTCATTCGCTTCAAATAGGCAGCACCGAAAGTACCTCCAAGTTCCATCCAGCTTTTGTTCATCAAGAATTCTTGGTCCCTCCTCCATCTTTGTCCTGCTGTGCCGCTCACCACGGTGGCCACCGTAGCCTTGGCTGCACTGTGCCTCCCAAGTTGGCCTTGCACAAGACTCACGTGCTCCTGAGAGAACATGATGATCTTCACGTTGATATGATGACCTGGCTTGCACATGGTGTAGAGATGCGCCACCTTCTTGAAACCGTTCTTGAAACCTTCTGATCCTTCTGTTTGGGGCATCAACATCTCCACACGCAAGTGGCCTTGGTCCTGGCCAACTGCCAGGAAGGCCGAAAGATGCTCAGGTCCATCAAAGTCGTGCCAGCCGTGGCCAGCGGTCTGGGCGCGCCACCTGCAGTCCTCCGATGTCATCTCCAGAGCACCAGGCTGTTCACCCTGGTTATCCCAGTTCACCAGAAGACCCTTCAGGTAGGAATTATGGCCCGAGTAGTGGGCAAAGATCTGAAAATTCACCAGTCTCTTGGACGCTATCGCGTTCAAGCCCGGTAAATGCCAAAATGAAAAACTGCCTTGATTTTGCAGAAGATAATGCTCTGCATGGAGTGTGTGAATGTGAGGGCCCTGACCGCCTCCCTCAGCGACCATGGTGGGATTATCCTCAGCTTCAATCTGTAAACTAGGGCCTGTGGCGCCTAGCGGAGCCCACGACCTCTCAGACATCTGGAGCATCGGAGCTTCTTCACATTCTTGGGCTGCGCATACAAGAACGCCCCACACAAAGCTGGCAACGAGCATTTCAGGCATCACCGCGGTGTGTTCGCAGGATTTCGCAGGCATGGGCACTCTTGGATATGTACGGGGAACAGACGCGAAAGCTAGAATCTTGAGCCAATGAGCTCTTAGAGCACATGCCGGGTACTGATTGGGCAACTTGTGTTCCTAGAATTCCACTAGAAGTCAGGAGTTGACAAGTCCAAAGTTCATATTGGAGCAGAAATCTGTCTCTGCATGTCTCTGCAACATCAAAAATTCAAGTTCATAGTTCAAAGTTCCACCAAATATGTATCATTTTTCATAGTTCATATTGTGACACTTGGCCTTCCGCCACCATTGAAGTTTGCCGCGTTTCAGCTCCACATGCCTCTGAGCCTTGCAGAAAGCATGATGAGAAAATGCAGAAGTATGCAAAAGGGGTTCCAATCGTTTCCAATGGTTTCGTCAAGCAAAACATGGCGAAACAATGTGGATGTTGCTCCAACAAGGAGGGGTTCGTAGAATCTGTTGAAAGATGTTGAAAGTGTTTGTCCTCTCTGCGTCTGCGTCTAGGTACTTAGTAATTCCGGCTCTTGAACTCATCACGGCTCATTTTGCCATGAACTTGGCAAGGAAATCTAAGTATTTCTTCGTCCCGCGCAAAACTGCTCACAATGTGTGGAGTAAAAAGTGAGGCAGCGGCCCACCACCAACCCCAGCCAGACTTCAACTTCAGCTGACCAGACCTTACAATTTAGCACGCACATGACCTTCTGCGCTTGGAAACACCCAGCGTAAAACAAAGGTAAGACTGGCGCATGTCATCTCAGATATGAAGCACTCCCTGTTTCAGACCATTTGCAGAAATTTTGATCTTGTCTCTCTCCATTGACGAAATCCTTTGAACAAAGATCTGGTGTGACAGTGATAAAACATGATAAAACGCACAACATCGCACAACCAACCTGAAAGGCCGCAGGTTGTTGCTGAAATGTTCATGCCTAATGAGTGCAGAAATGGTCGATGTCCCCTGAAAAGTGCCTACATCGTCCTACATCCACTGTCCAAATCAACGACTAAATCAATCAAGCCACATTCGAGGCTGTTCTGGCGTCTGGCCTCGCAGCATTTGGTGTTGGCATGAACAGAGGCTGCCCAATCCGGCCTCGACCTTTTTGTTCCTTGGAACATCTTGGAACTCTCTTTGGTTTGTGGAGGGACATGGTGATACATGGTGCGACATATGACTTGTTTTGGAGAATTGCCAATTCCACAAACCTGTCAGTTCTATCCAAACGCTCCTTGCTGGTTATAAGAGGCCGCCGAGCATGAACCCAAGGGAGCTATTAACGTGCACAAAGCCCTTCTAGTATGATTTCCCAGTTACGCCTGCAGCCCACCACAATTCCCCCAACAAGATGTTCAGTGCATGCTAAAACAACTTCAAGCAAAAAGTTGAGATCACTTCGCGGAGTTACTGACAACATCTGACAACATGTTGTTGGTGGCAAATCCAATCATCCACCAAAAACCGCAAACCTACGGATTACGGTCATCCAATCAGTTGGCCAACGGCAACCTGCCTGGACGACAAGACCTGCGAAGCCAAAACAGATGACAGCAACAGATGGTCCGAAATTGTCCGACGACATCCAAAGACGTTCTCGACCGTTCTCCTAGTTTTGAAGTCCTTGTCAGAAGGGCATGTAACAGACAGTTGTCTCTTCTTCACTTCTATTTTCAGAACAAGTGACGTGCTATGGGGCCCATCAGACTAAACTAGGGCAAGTCTCTCCATTGTTCTTCGAAACGACATGAAATGTGATTGGCCATCCCGCCTTGTTCCGCAATAAAATACAACAAAATGCACAAATAGAACAAATTGCAAATTCTCTTTTGGATCGAGCTAAGTACTAATGCCGCAAAATTAAAGGATGTGTATACTTTGACTTGAATAAGAGATGTCTGCTGAGCTTCCTTCAACTCGTTGTTTCACACGCCCCAACATGTTCGAAACAATCCTGCGGTTCCTGCCAAAGCCTATAGTCCTTCTGTAATCAATTTAGATTATCCTCAACTAGAATCGCAGCATTTTGAGGGCACAACCCGCTCAAGCCCACTTCTGACGTTCGTGACGCCTGCTGATATGGAGCATCACTGTGAAAGGAAAGGAACAAAGCAAATGTTCAATAGCTTCAAGCACAGTACAAGGTCACTTGTACAAGTAAATGTGCTTGCTCTCCATCGGTTGGTTGCTTTCCGTCCGACCAACAAGTTGGGCAGCGAAGTTTGAAGTTTGTCCAAAGTCCGTCCGCATCGTGCCAACAACATCGTATTGCAACTTTCACATCAATCACGTGCCTGAACATCTGGAGCTTCACCTTCTGTCGCAATCCTCTCTTCACCCTTCCCTCCTGACAATGGCTCTGCAGCTGCAGCTGCTTCTTTGGCCACTCTGTCGTCTTCTGCTTTTTTGGCCGCAGCACCAGCTGCTTCTTTGGCCAGTCTGTCATCTTCTGCTTTTTTGGCTTCAGCAGCAGCTGCTTCTTTGGCCAGTCTGTCGTCTTCTGCTTTTTTGTCTTCAGCAGCAGCTGCTTCTTTGGCCAGTCTGTCGTTCTCTGCTTTTTTGGCTTCAGCAGCAGCTGCTTCTTTGGCCAGTCTGTCGTTTTCTGCTTTTTTGGCTTCAGCAGCAGCTGCTTCTTTGGCCAGTCTGTCGCCTTCTGCTTTTTTGGCTTCAGCAGCAGCTGCTTCTTTGGCCAGTCTGTCGTTCTCTGCTTTTTTGGCTTCAGCAGCAGCTGCTTCTTTGGCCAGTCTGTCGTCTTCTGCTTTTTTGGCTTCAGCAGCAGCTGCTTCTTTGGCCAGTCTGTCATCTTCTGCTTTTTTGGCTTCAGCAGCAGCTGCTTCTTTGGCCAGTCTGTCGTCTTCCGCTTTTTTGGCTTCAGCAGCAGCTGCTTCTTTGGCCAGTCCGTCGTCTTCTGCTTTTTTGGCTTCAGCAGCAGCTGCTTCTTTGGCCAGTCTGTCGTCTTCTGCTTTTTTGGCTTCAGCAGCAGCTGCTTCTTTGGCCAGTCTGTCGTTCTCTGCTTTTTTGGCTTCAGCAGCAGCTGCTTCTTTGGCCAGTCTGTCGTCTTCTGCTTTTTTGGCTTCAGCAGCAGCTGCTTCTTTGGCCAGTCTGTCGTTTTCTGCTTCTTTGGCCAGTCTGTCGTCTTCCGCTTTTTTGGCTTCAGCAGCAGCTGCTTCTTTGGCCAGTCTGTCGTCTTCTGCTTTGACAGCGGCTGCTGCTTCTTTGGCCAGCCTGTCCTCGTCTTTTTTCTTGTCTTCTGCAGCTGCCTCTCATCAAGGATATTCTTATTAGTGAGGGAATAAACAAAATGCTGGAAAACTTGGTGGCAGTCCCTTAAAATAATATCAATAGATATGGATTGGGTACTCATGCAAACAGCAGACTTCGAGTGGATTTAGAGACCGGCTGGACTGCACAGGTCTGGCCAGTAGGCGGCCAGTATATATGCCGGTATCATTTGAATCATATCCTGGCAGGACACGCATCTACTTTTGAGCAAATAGAACTTGAATCAACAGCGGCCTTTACTTCTGTTTCTGGTTTCTTCATTCCTGAGGATTTAAGCATGGCACTCTGGCCCAGAACATCTCTGGACTTGGGGCTCCAGGAGAAGTGGCGTTTGTTTGCATACTTGGCATACTTGCAACAATGGTCACTTTTTGAAGGATGGAAAATCAGTTGGAGGCATTCCCACAACTTGTCAGTCAGGGTATGTGTACTCTAGCAGTATTGGGGACGCTGTCTGCACGACAACTTGGCCAAAGGCAGGATCCTCTGGGTGACATTCGTGGGTTGCACACAGCTGCACAGTCAACATTGCAAACATGAAAAAAAAAACACCTGACTGAGTTCCTACTGGCGTCCCACCAGGTGACACGATATGACGAAGGCTGTTCTAGGCCTCTGACCTAGGAGCACCCAATTCATATCCCCGCCAGCTTCTCGTACAGAGGCCACACAGGTATCCAACTCAGAGGCCGTGACATGGGAGAGTCCCTCGGTGTGTCGCTTTACCTTCAAACATAACACATTCCACCAGTTTTCACCAGCTTTCACCAGTTCTTCGTGACACGGTTTCTTGATTTAGCCTGAACCTTTCCACTGGCCTTCAGAATTGTGGACTGCTGTAGAAACGCGAAATGCTGTGCCCCCATACGTCTCCAATGGGCCCAGGTCCAGCTTCCTCCTCCTGCACCATACGAGCAATAGGAGTGCCGCGCTACAATCCATGTGTCTTAGAGATCCGAATAGACCCCAGCTCATTCAAGTGTTCTTTCCTCGAGTCGAGGAAAGTGCAAATGCAGCAAGGAAGTATGCTCTTGCAACTCGGATGCTAAAAGCGTTCTGATTTCATATGTTTTCATTAGCCACTTATAGATCTTATGGATCTTATGTAACATACTGTAACCATGAATGAAATTGGCCATACAGCCTAGCCTAGGTCAAGTTCTCGGCACCTCCAAATCCGCTTCGATTTGCTGCTTCTCCAAAGCCAATGATGCCATGTACTCCTCGCAGCGTTTTGCCCCGCCAAGCAATTTCTGTGCACTTTACAGCCTTGCCATTGGTACCTAGATGTACCTAGTCTGATTAGTATGAGAGTAGCTCAAAACGTAGAACCTCACAGCGTCAAGCATGAGCTTCAGCTTCATCGTTCTCCCCTGGTCCGACATTTGAAATGACTTCCTGCTGACTTTGCACTTCCAGAATATATCAACTGGCCACTATTGTTGCAACCACAGGCAGGAAGGAAGACATGTGTATATGATGTACTGTTTTAATGTGTATAGTTGCCTAAGAAGGGAGGGGAGGAAAGCCAGCCTCCTTCCTTTTGTATCCTCTCTACAAACACCAGTGCAAGTACATAAAGACTTCATAACCGAATGTTCCTGACTCCTGCTTTTCTTCAAAAAAAATGGACTCAGAAGGCAACCAGCCATCCCAAAAGATTTCAGAAACACAACAATGATGCTCGACAGAAGTTTTATCCTATTTTCGAGGCGCGAGACTTCCTCTAAATACCCAATGTTTAAGTTGTTTTTTGAATCTATGCAGTGTTTCGTGCTAGCTGTCATCTTTGAAAAGAAGAAACACTTTCTAACAGCTGCCACCTTTTCGAGTTTCCAAACCTACTAATGACCCTCAAGGCTAGCACAAATGGACCAAAAAAAGGCTGAGAGCACCCAAACATGGCTATGGCTATTATCCACATTGTTTATTTGCAGCTAGAACAAAGCAAGAGCAAGAAACATGCAAATAACACGTGTTTCCAACGTCTAAAAGGCAAAAACCATATAATTGATCATGTGTGTGCGATCTACCTTCAAACAACACCGTAATTCACAACGTTTTTTCCTTGCTCAAATATCTAAGAATATCTTGCATATATATATATATGTTTGTATGTATGTATGTATGTATGTATGTATGTATGTTTGTTTGTTTGTTTGTTTGTTTTTGTTTGTTTGTATGTATGTATGTATGTATGTATGTAACTATGTAACTATGTAACTATGTAACTATGTAACTATGTAACTATGTATGTATGTAACTATGTATGTATGTATGTATGTATGTATGTGTATGTATATGTATATGTATATGTATATGTATATGTATATGTATATGTATATGTATGTATGTATGTGTGTATGTATGTATGTATGTAAGTATGTATGTATGTATGTATGTATGTATACATAATATATATATATATTATATCTGTCACATAATCTCACCTCTGCCCTGCGCCGCGGACTTCTCCTCGACTGAGATTTGGCTCTTGCCAGCATCGCTGACTGCACCATCCACTACTGCCAAGCCTTACAGAATCATGTTTGCTCACAAGCGATCCAATGCCGAATAAAAAACTGTCTCCTTGCTTCTCCCAAGAGAATCACTGTTTTCATCAATTCTTCTCAATGTTCATCCATTTTCATCATGTTTCATCAATGTTCATCAATGTTCATCAATGTTCATCCATTTTCATCATGTTTCATCAATCTTCATCAATGTGCATCCATTTTCATCATGGTTCATCAATATCCATCAAGTTTCATCCATTTTCATCAATGTTCATCAAGTTTCATCCGTGTTCATCAATGTTCATCAAGTTTCAACAGTGTTCATCAAGTTTCATCAATGTTCATCAATGTGCATCCATTTTCATCATGTTTCATCAATGTTCATCCATGTTCATCATGTTTCATCAATGTTCATCCATTTTCATCATGTTTCATCAATGTTCATCAATGTTCATCAATGTCCATCAATGTTCATCCATTTTCATCATGTTTCATCAGTGTTCATCAAGTTTCATCAATGTTCATCAATGTTCATCCATGTTCATCATGTTTCATCAATGTTCATCAAGTTTTATCAATGTTCGTCAATTTTCATCATAACGTTCATCAAATTTCATACATGTTCATCAAGCATCATCAAGCTTCATCAACGTTCATCAACCGTAATCAATGTTCATCAATGTTTATCAATTTTCATGAATGTTCATCATTGTTCCTAATTGTTCATCAATGTTCTTTAATGGTTATCTATGTTCATCATGTTTCATCCATGTTCATCAATGTTCATCAATGCTCATCATTTATCTATCAATGTTCATCAATGTTCATGATTTGTTTATCAATGTTCATCAATGGTCATCACATTTCAACAAATTTCATCAATGTTCATTAATGTTCAATGTTCATCAATGTTCATCACTGTTCATCAATTTTCTCCGTTGTTCATCAATGTTCATCAATGTTTATCAAGTTCCATCAATGTTCATCACGTTTCATCATTTTTCCGCAATGTTCATCAAATTTCATCAATTTTCATCAATGTTCACCAATGTTCATCAGTTTTCATCAATGTTCATCAATGTTCATCATTTGTTTATCAATGTTCATCAATGTTCATCACAGTTCAACAATTTTCATCAATGTTCATCAAGTTTCATCAGTATTCATCAATGTGTATCAATGTTCATGAAATTTCAGCAATGTTCATCAACCTCATCAATGTTCATCAATTTTCATCGATGCTCATCAAATTTCATCAATGTTCATCCAATTTCATCCATGTTCATAAATGTTCATCAAATTTCATCAATGTTCATCAATGTTCATCAATTTTCTACGATGCTCATCAATGTTCATCAATGTTCATCAATTTTCATCGATGCTCATCAATGTTCATCAATGTTCATCAAATTTCATCCATGTTCATAAATGTTTGTCAATGTTCATCAATTTTCATCAATGTTCATCAAATTTCATCCATGTTCATCAATGTTTATCAAATTTCATCCATTTTCATCAATGTTTATCAAATTTCATCCATGTTCATCAATGTTTATCAAATTTCATCCATGTTCATCAAGTTTAATCAATGTTCATCAATGTTCATCAATTTCCATCGATGTTCATCATTGTTCATCAATGTTCATCAATTTTCTATGATGCTCATCAATTTTCATCAATGTTCATTAAATTTCATCCATGTTCATCAATGTTCATCAAATTTCATCCACGTTCATCAATGTTCATCAATTTTCTACGATGCTCATCAATGTTCATCAATGTTCGTCAATGTTTATCAATTTTCATCAATGCTCGTCAATGTTTATCAAATTGCATCAATGTTCATCAATGTTCATCCATTTTCATCATGGTTCATCAATATCCATCAAGCTTCATCAATTTTCATCAATGTTCATCAGGTTTCATCCGTGTTCATCAATGTTCATCAATGTTCATCAATGTTCATCAATTTTAAACGATGCTCATCAATGTTCATCAATGTTCATCAAATTTCATCCATGTTCATCAATGTTTATCAAATGTCATCAATGTTCATCAATATTCTACGATGCTCATCAATTTTCATGAATGTTCATCAAATTTCATCCATGCTCATCAATGTTTATCAAATTTCATCAATGTTCATCCATGTTCATCAATTTTCTACGATGCTCATCAATTTTCATCAATGTTCATAAAAGTTCATCCATGCTCATCAATGTTTATCACAAAAAAAAACAAAACATCAATGTTCATCAATTTTCTACGATGCTCATCAATGTTCATCAATGTTCATCAAATTTCATCCATGCTCATCAATGTTTATCAAATTTCATCAATGTTCATCCATGTTCATCAATTTTCTACGATGCTCATCAATTTTCATCAATGTTCATCAAATTTCATCCATGCTCATCAATGTGTATCAAATTTCATCAATGTTCATCAATTTTCTACGATGCTCATCAATTTACATCAACGTTCATCAATTTTCATCCATGCTCATCAATGTTCATCAAATTTCATCCATGTTCATAAATGTTTATCAAATTTTCAATGTTCATCAATGTTAATCAAATTTCATCAATGCTCATCAATCTTTATCAAATTTCATCAATGTTCATCCATGTTCATCAATTTTTTTTCTACGATGCTCATCAATTTTCATCAATGTTCATCAAATTTCATCCATGCTCATCAATGTTTATCAAATTTCATCAATGTTCATCCATGTTCATCAATTTTCTACGATGCTCATCAATGTTCATCAATGTTCATCAAATTTCATCAATGCTCATCAATGTTTATCAAATTTCATCAATGCTCATCCATGTTCATCAAATTTCATCCATGTTCATAAATGTTCATCCATGTTCATCAAATTTCATCCATGCTCATCAATGTTTATCAAATTTCATCAATTTTCATCAATGTTCATCAAATTTCATCCATGCTCATCAATGTTTATCAAATTGCATCAATGTTCATCAATGTTTATCAAATTTCATCAATGTTCATCAATGTTTATCAAATTTCATCAATGCTCATCAATGTTTATCAAATTGCATCAATGTTCATCAATGTTTATCAAATTTCATCAATGTTCATTAATGTTTATCAAATTTCATCCATGCTCATCAATGTTTATCAAATTTCATCCATGTTCATCAATGTTTATCAAATTTCATCCATGTTCAGCAATGTTCATCCATGTTCATCATGGTTCATCAATGTTCATCAATGTTCATCAAGTTTCATCAGTGTTCATCAAGTTTCATCAATGTTCATCAATGTTTATCAAATTTCATCCATGCTCATCAATGTTCATCAAATTTCATCCATGTTCATCAATGTTCATCAATTTTCTACGATGCTCATCAATGTTCATCAATGTTCGTCAATGTTTATCAATTTTCATCAATGCTCATCAATGTTTATCAAATTGCATCAATGTTCATCAATGTTCATCAATGCTTATCAAATTTCATCAATGTTCATCAATGTTTATCAAATTTCACATCAATGTTTATCAAATTTCATCCATGCTCATCAATGTTTATCAAATTTCATCCATGCTCATCAATGTTTATCAAATTTCATCCATGCTCATCAATGTTTATCAAATTTCATCCATGTTCATCAATGTTTATCAAATGTCATCCATGTTAACAATGTTTATCAAATTTCATCCATGTTCATCAATGTTTATCAAATTTCATCCATGCTCATCAATGTTTATCAAATTTCATCCATGCTCATCAATGCTTATCAAATTTCATCCATGTTCATCAATGTTTATCAAATTTCATCCATGTTCATCAATGTTTATCAATTTTCATCCATGTTCATCAATGTTTATCAAATTTCATCCATTCATCAATGTTTATCAAATGTCATCCATGTTCATCAATGTTTATCAAATGTCATCATGTTCATCAATGTTTATCAAATTTCATCCATGTTCATCAATGTTTATCAAATTTCATCCATGCTCATCAATGTTTATCAAATTTCATCCATGTTCATCAATGTTTATCAAATTTCATCCATGTTCATCAATGTTTATCAAATTTCATCCATGTTCATCAATGTTTATCAAATTTCATCCATGCTCATCAATGTTTATCAAATTTCATCCATGCTCATCAATGTTTATCAAATTTCATCAATTTTCATCAATGTTTATCAAATTTCATCCATGCTCATCAATGTTTATCAAATTTCATGCATGTTCATCAATGTTTATCAAATTTCATCCATGTTCATCAATGTTCATCAATGTTTATCAAATTTCATCCATGCTCATCAATGTTTATCAAATTTCATCCATGTTCATCAATGTTTATCAAATTTCATCCATGTTCATCAATGTTTATCAAATTTCATCCATGCTCATCAATGTTTATCAAATTTCATCCATGCTCACCAATGTTTATCAAATTTCATCCGTGCTCAGCAATGTTTATCAAATGTCATCCATGTTCATCAATGTTTATCAAATGTCATCCATGTTCATCAATGTTTATCAAATGTCATCCATGGTTAACAATGTTGATCAAATTTCATCCATGTTCATCAATTTTCATCAATGTTCATCAAATTTCATCCATGCTCATCAATGTTTATCAAATTTCATCAATTTTCATCAATGTTTATCAAATTTCATCCATGTTCATCAATGTTTATCAAATTTCATCCATGTTCATCAATGTTTATCAAATTTCATCCATGTTCATCAAATTTCATCCATGTTCATCAATGTTTATCAAATTTCATCCATGTTCATCAATGTTTATAAAATTTCATCCACGTTCATCAATGTTTATCAAATTTCATCCATGTTCATCAATGTTTATCAAATTTCATCCATGCTCATCAATGTTTATCAAATTTCATCCATGTTCATTAATGTTTATCAAATTTCATCCATGCTCATCAATGTTTTTCAAATGTCATCCATGTTCATCAATGTTTATCAAATGTCATCC